ACTCCCTAGGTGCTGGGTTACACTTGTGTGTTACCATGTCTGACACTGGTTATGCTTTTCAAACAACACAAGTCAATCAAAATTTTATTTTGTGCCTAGTCCAGGTCCTCTGTAACTCTTTATGAATTTAGGTCCAAATTGCATTTATTTATAGAAGAGGATTTGGGGATTCTGTGGAATTATGTTGAATCTGGAGAAACTGGGAGAAAATCAGCTTTTCAAAACAGGGTTCACGCCTTCAAATAAGCTTTACTTAGACCTTCCTACAGTTCTTTCAGCAATGCTTTTTTTAAAGGTGTGCACTAAAGAGATTTTACAACAATTTTAATGTTTATCCCAGAAAAGCTTGTATTTTTTTCAAGACAGGGTTTCTCTGTGGCTTTGGAAGTTGTCCTGGAACTGGCTCTGTAGACCAGGCTGGCCTTGAACTCATAGAGATCCACCTGCCTCTTCCTCCCAAGTCCTGGGACTAAAGGCATGCACCACCAACACCCCGCTAGCTTGTATTTTTTCATGTCACTGTAATATTTAAAATCTTTCTCTCTCCTTTTCTTTCTTTTTCCTTCTTCCATTCCTTCTTCCCTCCCTCCTATCCCTCTTTCCTTTCTTTTTCCTTCCTTCCTTCCTTCCTTCCTTCCTTCCTTCCTTCCTTCCTTCCTTCCTTCCTTCCTTCCTTCCTTCTTCAGGTCTCACTATGTAGCCCTGGTTGGCTCTGGAACTTGCTTCCTTCACTAAGCTAGTCTCAAACTCAGAGATCCGCCTGCCCCTGCTTCCTTAATGCTGGGATTAAAGGCATGAGCCACCACACTGGGCTTTGGGTCAGTTTTCTTTCATTGTGATAGAGCTCTATGTTTTATGTTTCTTTAAAGATGTGGAGCTACTCATGTCTGTTTTTCTTTTCCCATGCTTATTTGTGTTGTTAGTAGACTTCATGTTATTGCCTTTGTTTGTTTTGTTTTTTGAGACAGGTTTCTCTGTAGCCTTTGTTGTCCTGGAACTCACTCTGTTGACCAGGCTGGCATTGAACTCAGAGATATGCCTGCCTCTGTCTCCTGAGTACTGGGATTAAAGGCATGGGCCACCATTCCAGGCAAATTCTGATATTTATATTGTCACTTTAGTTGAAATGCATCTTTACTTTTCATGTGACTCCTGGTTATTTTAAAGGACTCTGTTTAAATCGTATTTCTTGGCCATTAGTGGTGATACATATCTGTAATTCTAAACCCTGTGAGGCTAAGTTAGGAGGGTTGTCAGTTTCAGGCCAGCTTGGAGAATATGGCAACAAGACCCTGCCTCATTTGCCCCCCCATTTCCTTATTTCTTCTTTATCTCATATGACTTATCTCCTTTTTCTACTGTATTAATCACACATATTCTTCATATGGCCATGTTATATACTCTCCTCATCTCTAACCTTCCTTGGACATACATGCTTATTTTATATGTATGATTTTACTGACTCCCTGGAATGAATGGTAGGCTCCCTGGTTGCAAGTACCTCAATCTTGGGCTGGCTTTATAACTTTGTTAGTATTTTGTGTGTAGTTGGGTGAAATTAAAATGCATATCAAAAATCATTAATGTGATCGATAAAGTTTGTGCATAATCCAAATTACCTATGGTGAGTTATACATTTTATTAGAAAATATGATAACTAGGGTTGGTTTTAGCTCAGTTGGTAGTGCTTCACTAGCATGTACTGGCCCTGGGTTTGATCCTCCATACTATATGAACCAGGTGTGATGACTATAATTACAGTACAGTGTAAAGCAGGTGTGATGGCTGTAATCCCAGCACTTGGGAGGTTGAGGCAGAAAGATCAGAAGTTGAGGGCCATACTTGGCTACAATGTAAATTAGATCAATCTGATTTCATCAGACCTGGTCTCAAAAGAAAGAAAGAAAAAAAAGATGATACTTCATGGCACAAAACAGTATATGCTAATAGCCAAGCAACAGTAAACACTCCAGGCATTCTAAACACAGACAGAAGATAGTAAATTCTCCCAGGAAGACTCCATTCAGATGGGATTTGAACAGGCTCTGAAGCAGAGGTAGGATTTAAGTGAAGAAGGAAGACGTGCCCTTCCCACTAAAGGAATAGTATGTGGAAAGGTCTTGGGGTAGCAATGTGCATCATTCCTCGTGGAGATGAGAGGGGAGACCAGTGTGGGAGAAGCTGGCAGTGGGGAGGTGTGGATTAGCATAGAGGCTCTGAATATGAGGCTGAGGACTGGGGTCAAGGGTTTAGCATTCCCATTCTAATGGCAGATAGTGATGCTCTCTTAAAAATTTTCCTCTTTATTTTGCTACTTATATATCTCCATTTATTTTAAAAAGATTTATTTTTAATTTGTATGCACACAAGCATGTGTGCCTGTGTGTGCGTGTGTGCAAGCAAGTAACCTCTGAGCTATCCCTCCAGCCCCACTAGTTATTTTTATTTTCTGCCAACCTTTCCTTCTTTCCCTTTCCTTCCCTTCTCCATCCCTCCTCGTCTTCCCTCCCTCCCACCCTTTCTTCCCCATTTCTGTCCTTGTGGATGTTTGTGCAGGTGGATGTATGTATAGAGAGGCCAGAGGCCAGCCTC